CTCATTGCATTTGTGCATGCTAGCCAATTGCCACCTAGCTCAACTGCAATAGAACGGTCGCCATCTGGTGATATAAACATAACAAGACGCCTGCTCAGGCGTTCACACTGGCCTTAGCGGTTGGTAAAACAGTAAAATACCATTGCAATATTCTAAAAAATAGGTACATAGTGCTTACATGTTGCATGCCATCAAAACCATGAAACCTCACGACTCAGAATACTATACAGAAATCATGGCCATCTCCATTGTTTTCTGTGTACGTGCTATTTGTCATGATTTGTCAGTCGGCAAGTACAGTAAACAGAAGCAGTTACCCCCTGGCACTGAACAAAGATACACAGAATGTCAATTAGAGCATAGTCCAAAACATGGTCTGGAAACTCAGTAAACTTCAAAGCGGTTATAATGAGCTGGGATTTTACGTTGAGCCGTACCTTGAACCATGTACATCCTTTGTTTTAGGTTTATTAATATTTAACTAACATGGTTGAATGACTGAATTGAAACGTCGCTGTTGGATGATTCGTTCATTATACTGAAATACAATGTGTTCATAATTGACTGTGCACCGTGCACAAAACTGCATAAACGCAAAACAAAAAGATAGAACAAAGACTTTAGCGGTGTTTCCAAACCATGTTTTGAAAGACTGTAATTAGAGTAAACGCTGCCACATCCCAACCAGTGCGCACCAAAGAGGCACGCCCCCCCCCCCCTCCCGCTGGACGTCTATCATTTTGAATATTATAAGGGGGGTAAATGCCTCCCAAAAGCGCACCAGCCAGGACCATGACGTCAGCATTTTGATGATGAATTACGGTCACGCCAAAATCATTGGAAAACCATAAGAAAAACCAATAAATTGGGCTTCTGTATGACCGACTCTGTGCCCTGGTAATGATGCGCGACCGCTTATAACTTTTGGTACAACTGATCTGAAACTTAAATTAAGATCAATATATTGTTTGAAAAATAGCTATTATGTCAAAATTAGAAAACTTAAGATTCTCACGCGAATAAGCAATGTTTTTATGAGCGTCTGTTCATAGTTAGTTGCCAACGAAAGTAATTGCTGCCGAGCGTAGCGAGGCAGCACACTATTCTTGACACGCGGTAGTTTCTCCAGAGTCCACTCGACCCAGTCTTTCGCGCGAGTTATGTATTGTCGAGATCGAGATCTTGTGTCTGTCTGTAAAGATGTTTGTCGTAATCCGGGGGGGATAATTAAGCTTCAGGAACGTTTGTTAAATGAGGGGAGCGCAGGGCCGTCCTCAGGAAATTCTTCAGGGGGGGTGTAATAAGGTCAATTCAACCGACTGGTTCAAAAAAAATTTTCCGGACGTATAAAAATTTTCCGGAACTTTCAAAAATTTTCCGCCCATAACAAATTTTCAACATTTTTTTACATTTTTCCAAATTTTTTACATTTTTCCTCAAAATTTTCCTAAAATTCCCAGCACGTTCTTGCCCTTTGCGCCAAAAATATTTAACCCAAATAGCAGTTCTACCGACTGAATAGCAGTCCTGCCGACTGAATAGCAGTCCTGCCGACTGAATAGCAGTTCTACCGACTGAATAGCAGTCCTGCCGACTGAATATAATTAATGGGGTGTCACCCCCCCACACACACACACCCGTACCTCCGGGCCTGATGGAGCGGTCAAAACATGAAGATTTTCAAGCTTTTAAATACGGATGCAAGACAGCAAGCGATCAAAAATATTCGGAAACATTCAGGTAAGTTCGGCTCTATTTTTTTCTTCTCATATACATCAAGGCAATGACCTTTTTAGTGTTCAATCTAGAGGCAAACAATGTGCTTTTATGAGTTTATCAGCACTTTTAACTGCCCAAAATATACCACTGATCGATTGGTCAAAAACAACATTTAATCGTCTTATTAGGCCACTATTTGTTGTATATTAGTTTCTCATCCCCGCCCGCATGCTTTTTAAGAAAATTGTCTTGTTCGCCATTATTGCCATTATTGCCATTTTTGACCATTATTACAAATTTTGTGATGTCTTCAAAATTATATTTGAAAGAAAGACATGCAATTAGAAACGTTCCCAAACCAAAAGTTTTAGTTGAGATACGAAATTTCATACCAATTGCAAAACTGCTACTTTCTCTCGCATTTACGTAAAAGTTCTACCGAAAGCCAGGGGCAGGGAAAAAAACGCGAGACGACTAGGCTACAAAATTATTTCTCTATTCTGTGATTATTTCACATGTGACCATGTTTTTAAGATGAAAACATACTCAGTTGCACTCACTAATTTTGTGCTGTTTTTGCAATGCTATAAATGCTAAATACGCATTTTTTCAAGTAATATTTACGGAGAGGGGAAATCCGACAAATAATGGCATAATGGTAATGGCCCGGCCGCCCGCATCAACTTTAGGTGAAGCCCCGGATGAGAAAATAATATGCAACAAATAGTGACCTTACAAGGAGACAAAATGTACTTGCAAGCTCTGGATAATGGCTTTGTTGTCTTAGAAACTGCCCAAAATATACCACTGATCGATTGGTCAAAAATAACATTTATAAATAATGTCTAATTACAAGGAAACAAAATGTACTTGCAAGCTCTGAATGATGGCTTTGTTGTCTTAGAACCTGGTGTCGAATTCTTATCTGTCGATAATTTACCTAAACTTGTCAGTGTTTCAAGTTGTATACAAACATGTTTCTTACAAGATATGTGATTCTGTGATCGACACAAGTAATATACCACATGTAGTGCAAGCAAAAACAACTACAACACCTGTGAATCCTTTTGATACACAAAATAATGATACTATAAACAGTCTGCCCATGGTGGTAGGACAAAATAATAGCATTCTACACCCATTGTAGTAGAGTCCATTGAGGCAAAAAATATCATTGATCTGCCCAATTGTGGTAGAGCCCATTCAAGGCAAAAACTATAGATCTGCCCATTGTGCCAATGTGGTAGAGCCCATTGAGGCAAAAACTATAGATCTGCCCATTGTGGTAGAGCCCATCGAGACAAAAACTATAGATCTGTCCATTGTGATATCTAGAGCCCATTGAGGCAAAAACTATTGATCTGCCTGTGGTAGAGCCCATTGAGGCACCAACTATCAGCGATCTGCCCATTGCGATGGAGCCCATTGAGGCACCAACTATCAGACTAGGGGTCAGCCAGGGGAGAGGGGGGGGGGTCGTGGTATCCTAAATAGCTGATAAATATGGATTAAAATACCTATTATTATGGTCAAAATGTTACATAATACCTAAAGCAATCAGAAGCTGTATACCAGACCTAATACCCAAAATTAGTCACAACATTTAAAGTAAATATACAGTATACTCGAATTAAATACCATTAAATCCTATATAACAAAACCCTATGGCCGACCCTACAGACTGCTCTGCCCATTGTGGTGGAGCCCATTGAGGCACCAACTATCAGTGATCTGCCATTATGTGCAAAGACGATGAGTTTATAGTGTTCCATTTCTAGATGTTTATAGCTTTAAACAAATGTGGAATGTTGCTAAATCAGGTTTAATATTAAAGATTCCTAGAGCAACCCAGTGTGGATTATTGTCTGCACATATATTGACTTACCAGCAATTACATGTAATATTACTAACATTTTAACTGAATTTTGTATAAGATCTGAGATATGTCCATTGTTAGCATAATATGAAATAATTCTAGTGGCCTACATATGGCTGTGTCACTACGATCATAATGCTCACAATTTCTTTCTTATTATATATTTTTTCAGTTCTGACTGAGTACAATATTAATCATGTCAATGAATGGTGTCATCTGAAGCATATTAAACAGAAATGTCAACAAATACATTTTGTCTACCCATCGGCAGATTGTTCGGTTGGTCTGTGATAGGGGAAGCCATGAAGGTGGCATTACATGTAAAACGATAATTGGAACAAAAACCGACTTTTTAGTATTTTTATATAAACAATATTGTTCTGTATTCAGTGGCAAGCTCACACATGTGACCACCATGTTTATAATTTTTTGTGCACTTTTTATAAGATGAGATGTAAGATACAACCAGGGACGCCGGAACTGGGGGGGGGAGCAGCAAGGGCAGCGGCGCCCGTTGCCCTTTACCAGGAGGGGCAAGGGTGGGGGCGAAGGTGTCCTTTCAATTTAAAGGATTGCCTTGGCAAAATAGCGAATTGTCAGAAATGTTAGTGGAATTCTTTTACAAATTTTCTTCAGAAAACGCAAGAATTGCAGTCATCGAGCTTCAGGAATGGCACAATCGCCTGGCGGAGAGAACCCCCTCACACCCCTATCATCCAATCAATAGAAAACATGATTAGGCGAAGTTCAACTCCCGATGTTTTGCAAACATCTCTTAGTATATATCAATTCAAAAGTGTCCTTTCACGAAAATCTGCCACCCTTGCCTTCACAACGTTCCGACGTCCCTGGATACAATTGTATAAGGTAATTGATGTAGACATTAAGACATTAAATCATACATACAGTGAAAAAGACACTTTTTGGTTGTAGTACATCCTGCATGTACATATCGGCAGCATTTGGCTTGCGATAGTAACTCCTAGTATAAACAAGGTCAAGGCAGGTCAAGTTTGTAAAAAAATGTTATTTCCTACAAATTTAGCTTTATTGTAGCTTTAGTAAAGGTATAAAAAAACCTGGAAACGGTGAATTACTATAGATCGAAAATAATTATTAAACTATGATTGAAATTATCGACGTAGAATGCTATATTTCGTTGTATTAAATTTAAATAGTGTATAAATAGTAATACATTTGACATCCGTAAGTACAATTTCTTATGCTGAATCGAACGAATCAATCCTGGTTGCATGCTAGTTATTCTTTCGACAGGAAGTTCACTTAGTAACTGACTGCCAGGCTTCGCTCGTTCTTTCTTTCTTACACTGGGTGCACTTTCTCTTGAAACTCTTGACTTCCTGTCGTAGTCCGCGAATTATCCAGAACTTTTGACGAATTGCGGCCAAAACGTGGTCAGTTCCTCCGTATTTTTCGACCCGATGATAGCTCCCGACAATTAGCTAGGTCAAACGGCGTTTCTGAGGTAGGAGGATCGGGTGTCGCACTTCGTAAGGTAATTGAGCTCGGTTAAGTCTTCCTTCAACACGGATTACGTTATTTTCGTCCAGGTAGGGGGTAAAGGGCAACAGTTTGGATCGCTTGCTGACACTTTTCGTTCTTTCCAAGGATTGGAGCTCGTCGGGGAATCTTGTACGGTTACGACACTACTCTCTGGTTTCTTTCCTTTACATACATTGAAGAAACGATGAACTAACGCTGCTACTCGCTGTGCTTTCGACAATGACGAAAATCGCTCCAAATCGATGTCAGCATAGACTGGAACACACTCTGGGTTGGATTTGGCAACGAATATTTTGCTTGGTTTGATTTCTTCGTGTTGCTGTAACTCTTCGACAGACATTTCCTTTGGCCAGTTATCTTCACCTCGATAAAGGAAATCAGGGACAGTGAACCAACGCACGGGAATTAATTCCGACCGCTCATCAAATCTCGAACGGGTGGCACAGTCACTTACATTCAGTCGGCCAGGTACGTGGCGGCAGGACTTTGGGTCTGTCAACGTTTGGATTTCGCCAACTCGGTGAGCGACAAACGGCTTATACCAAACTGCAGTAGATCGTATCCAACCAATAACACATTTACTGTCCGTCCAAAAGAAAACGCGGTCAATGTGTCGTGTCATTGCTTCTTTAACATAACTCGCTAGGCGAGCACCTAGAAGGGCAGCTTGCAGTTCAAGACTTGCTACACTTAAAGCTTTCTTCGGCGCTACTTTCGTCTGGCTATCAGGAAGGAGCACCGTACGTCGCCATCGTCGTAAATGCTTCTCAAATAGACCACGGCCGCGAAAGCTTCCTCCGAGGCAGCACAGAACGTATGGATCTCTGACTCAATCACGTTTTTCTTCTTTGGCTGTATACATCGTGGTACACTTACTAGCTCTAACTCTGGCAGCCTTCTTAACCAAGCTTTCCACTTCGTCAGGTGGGAATTAGGAATGGGGTCATCCCAATCGAGACCTAGTAGGCACAACTGTTGTGTTAGGATCTTTGCTTTGATAATGAATGGCGAAGCTAACCCAAGGGGTTCGAACACGCCGGCCAACTTGCTCAGGAGGCCTCTTCGGGTGTATCTTACATCTTCAACCGGTGCAACTGCAAATGTAAGTTCGTCAGTTTCAGTGTTCCATTTTACACCGAGAATTTTCTTTTCAGGTTCATGTTCGACAACGTTGGTCACAATGTCAACTTCAGGTTTCGTTTCCTGTCCGAGCTCAGATACTACTTCCGCGATGCTGGAAGTCCACTTCCTTAAATGTAAATCACCCTTTGCTAAGATCTCCTTTACTTGCTGTCCTCTCTTGATTGCTTGTTCCTTTGTCTCTGCAGAGTCAAGATAGTCGTCCACGTACAAGTTCTTTTTAATAGCTCTCACAGCATCTTCTTGTCCTTGTCCATGATCTTTAGCAGTTCGGCGAGTGACATAAATTGCTTCGCATGGTGACAAGGTATCACCCAAGGCTAATCTGTTCATCTGATAAGTGTCAATGATCGCACTGTTTTTCTTCCACAGAAAGCGATGATATCTAGAATCTTGTTCCCACAATCTAATTCGGCTGAACATTGCTTCGATATCGGCTCCGAATGCAACATCACCTTCCCGGAACTTTGTGAGGACTTGTTGAAGTTCATTCTGTAGAACAGGTCTTGGGAGTAAAGCATCGTTCAAACATTTGCCTCTGTACTTAGCTGAGGCATCAAAGACTACTCGGATCTTCTTCTCGGCGGATGATTTCTTATATACTCCATGATGAGGGAGATACCACTGATTTGGTCCATTGAAGTCGTCTTCTTCACCGACTTTGTGCGCATATCCGTCTTCTACATACTTGCTGACAGCTTTGCGATAATCTTTCTCGTACTCTGGGTCTCGCTCAAATCGTCGTTGCAAGCCTTCCAATCTCTTTTGCGCGACTTCTCGATTGTTTTGAAGCTGTGGTTCGTTTTCTTTCCATAACAAGAGGACCTCGTAACCGGTCTCCAACTTCCTAGTCTCGTGTTCCAGTATATCCAAGGCTCGTTGATCATCATTGGAGTAGTGTGGCAAGTTCGTTGTCTTAGTCCCAAACGACTCGCTATCCCAAAACTGCTTAAAGGCAACATCGAGTTGTTCTGGCTCAGCACTGGCAACGTGATAGCTGTGGATGTCGCCGCGAGGCTTGCCAACCAGCCGGACCGCCATCCAGCCTAAACTTGTCCTTTTGGCTACGGGTTCTTGTGGTTTGCCCATCTTTACATCCAACGGAATCAACAAATCTGCATGATCAAGACCGAGAAGGATATCAATTTCACCACCAACAGCTTTCAGGTTAACATTTTCCAGGTGCTTCCACTTTCTTTTGATATCAGGTCATTGAACAGTTCCAACTGGCTGACAGATCTTTGGAAGGCTCCGGGCTGTGAGATTAACACATTCAGCATTGCCTTGTGATGTTTTAACGTGGAGGTTCACTTGAGAAGACGTTCTTTTGCTTTCTTTTCCTCCAACACCCGAAATGTTGAGCGTGGTCTTCTTTCCCCGCACTCCCAGCTTTCGCACAAAAGATTCCGTTACCAGCGTAGTGTCAGAACCATCATCAAACAAAAAGTTTCCTTTCACTTGAATGCCGCTAGCACCAACAACTTCAACAACTCCAAACGCTACACCGGACTGTGGTGTCTTGGTGGTGGTTGAACGCACATTCTCTTCTTGGTGTAATAACTTTATATGCCTCAAATTTTTCATTCTATGTTTCTTAATTTAACTTCTGCTGTCCAAGTTAAAAAAGACAAATTTTGAAAATATGTAAGAATAGCTTGACTTTGAACTGTATTTCTCAAATATAGCCCGTGGTCTCAATGTCAAATATAGCTAAATGAAAAGAATACGTTTTGGCGTTTGTAGGTATCAAACATATCGTCAGGAAAATAGGGGCTCACAATGTTTTAGCTGAGTCTTTGAGACCACGCACGGGTTGTGGTCAAATTTTTGCCAAGAATCAAAGGCCGACATGTGAACTTCCTTCATGAAAACCGGTTTTTAAAATTTAGGTATTAATTTCGATTTCATGAGCATATTTTGGTTACACGTTAAATATTTTTGTACTTGATGAGATTCAAAATTTGTTGTATATTCAAGCCCGGCTTTAGTGTAATTTTGGTGATGACCGAAACAGAAATAAAGATATTTTAAAAACTGGAAGGGGCCTCACGAGAAAACTTTCTAAAAATGTTCTCTGTTTCATGTATTTTTATTTGACATCTTAGGTATAAGCGTAAAAATAGGGGCTCATGCAGTTTACGAGGTTGTAAAATGCATGACTTGCTTCTATTTTCATGTATAAACATTCGAAGTTTTTCGAGAGCAAAGTAGCAACTGTTTCAGATCGAATGCTCACGGACAGCCCACCAGAGACAATGGCAGGGTACTGAAATAGAACGTCACTAAAAAATTCTGTATGATTAATATATATATTATTAAATTATGTCCATTTTCAACACAAAACAGTCATGTATTTTGTACAAACATTTAGCAATATTTACACGATTGAGCCTTTTTGTAAACATGCGTTGCGTGTATTCCACTCAATTGCGTAACTCATTTTGCAACGCATGCTCAGACAAATTTCCCACCTGTTCTAGATATGTCATTTTAGGTAAACGTATAATACTTGATGTAAAGTGCATTTGATTATATCCAAATGTAAATTTGCGCTATAGAACTAATCGTAATATATTAGCTCGATTGGAGAGTGAGACGAATAATACGATTTATGAATGTATGAATCAATTTATATTAGCCATCATGAGTTATTGCCAAATCAGAAGATAGCAGGTGACTGCAATGTGTAATAATGTAGGTTATTAGCAGCTAAAATATTTCTTGAAATTTTATTGAAATTATATATGGCTCTATAACAAAGAACTCACTTAAGTTTCCTACAGATGGAATTCTGACGTACGTTGTGCCACCTCTTACACTGTAGACGTATCTGTTGAAATAAAGCATGTATAGACTTAATAAATAGTCTGTTTCCAACTGGAATGTAGTGAGCATTCTGTTATTTTTAAACTGGCGGTTCCAGTTGAATAAATTGCAAGACAAAAACATTATAGGTTTTACTTTATTAATTAATTATGTGTGGGTAGAAAATTTATTAGCTATAAAAAAAAGTCATGTCAATTATGACGTTTGTTTTTCCCATTATTATGCGCTACAGGATGCATGAAATTTGCAAAAAACCATAGCGGAAATGACGCAGGCGAAGTATTATTTTAGTAAAACTCCCCTATAACGCGCTGTTAACACTTGAGTTCTCTCAAGAAAATGACATGCATACGTTTGGCACAATGTAATTTCTCGAAGTTTCATATTGCTTGAATCTACCGCCGCTGCATGTCTAACAAACATCGCCGACAATTATTTATCCAAAGAAATAGAAGGCAAACATTGCAAAAGGTAATATTAGAATCTAATAATTTAGTCTTTTAATGTTTCAGCATGTGTGCAATTCGAAATGTGGGATTAGAAACGAGCTTTGCTCGCCATGAAAGTAAAACTTTTTAGCCAACGTTCTTTCATCAGTGGAGCTTGTTGAGTGGAGCGACGACAGTCATTTCAGTTAAAAAAGCATTCCTCTCTGAACAAGGGCCTTAATTAATATGTTGAAATTAGCATTCCGATGCCGAGATATCTATGTATATATGACTCCGATAAAATGAAAAAATGGAATGATCTTAATGTGTTAACAAACAGAATCATCATAACAATCTCTATAGTAAGCGTCTTTTGGAGACTAATTTTCGTCTTTCAGTATAAATTCTGTCTAAGTTTGTGTAAATATTTTTAACATATAATTGAAAGTTGTTTAGCGTCATATGAAGAATAGTAAGACCAACGTTTCTGTTTTCTCCAGTTAGTATTAATAGCTGAGGTATACGCCATAAACTAGTTAAGACCTACGAATGTTGCTTATATCATGTAAAAAGTGTATTCAATAATTGCTTTCATGTTGTTTATTCAAAAGACGGCATGCATACTTGCTTTCAAATACTTTAATAAAAGTGCTTCTCCCAATTGCCTGTATGCGTGCACGTTTCCGTAGAAAATTCTTAATATTATTTATTTTCTGCTTGGCTTTATTTAATTTTATATTAAATAAGCTAAATCTTCCAAATTGCATTCAAATATTATTTCGTTAATTAGTGATCATAACCATGCCGCAGAAAGTCCTCTCCAATTCAAAAAAAGACACTTAAATTCAGCAGTATGCAATGTTTTCTTTCATGTAATAACCATTTTTTTATTTAAGTAGGAAATCTTTATTTTCCACATTTAGTAAGTTAATCAGATACTCTCAGGCAGGAAGTTTGAATTTATGTGTTTGGATTATTTTACAAATGCTTACTCAGCTGTGGATATAGTAAAATACCGTTTATTGAACATATGGCTACTTATTCACATCCCATCAATAATAAATGAGCGGACGTAATAGGCTACAACTCGAAATTGTTTGCATATAAACGGTTATACATGTTCAAATGTAAAAAATCTTCAAATTTTGAAAGATCTAAACGTCGATTCCTTTAAGCATGCGCTGAAAATTGCAAAACACCAACGCTACAATTTAGGTTTATTAAGCTCTTGTAGTTACGAGCGTTTTTTTTATGTTTTTTATATATACAATTGTGACGAAGCAGTTATAGCCTACATAGCAGTAGTACATGGCAGAGTGAATGAAAGCTAACATGGAAGTAAAGTTATTTTTCTGTTTGTTTGTTTTTCATCCTTCTTACCTGATATCTCTAAATAACGACTTTCCGGCAAACATCATTTTTTTTATGAAGGATCGAGTACTGACATCTGTTTAAGCTGTCACCACGATACAGCTGCTAAATACGTGTTGGAGATATTCACTCACATCATGTTTCAATAATTATCTTTTATATTTTTGTTCGAGTAGCTGTCAAAAAAGAATACAACACAGAAAATAATCTATATGAGAAATTGAAAGTTTAGCTTTTTGAAAGGGAAATGTTGAAATAAATATTTCTTTATTATATTCAATTGTTTAAGAAACCGTATGTAAAGATTATTTTGAAATGAGTGTCGCCTCACACGGCATTTTAAGTAAAAATATTTGTAAAGAATATCGGGAGTTCTTTCACCGGATCATAGTTTCGGCAAATGTAAAACAATTAATGTCATCCCGAAGAAAGTATGCATTTTAACATCTATTTTAAAAACTGTATGTTATTTTGAATCTATTTTGATTGATCGTCAGCAATATCTCGAACGTACTAAATTTGTTCCGAAATGCCGCACACTCAAACAGACTTGCCCTCGTAGCTCAGTTTGCAAAGCACTGGATTAGTATCCCAAAGGTCGCGGTTTCGATTCGCCCCGTCGCCAAGCTAACTTTTCAGCCTCCCCAGTGTGGATATACACTCAGAGTAACATCAAAAACATATTCACCTGAGTACAAATCACCAAAACACACACACAAAAAATCAGCGGTCATGCATAGAACACATTGGTATATCGAAGGTACTAGACATAGTTCCGACTTGGCCTCGTAGCTCAGTTGGCAGAGCATTAGACTAGTATCCGAAAAGTCGCGTGTTCGATTCCCACCTTGATCAGGCTAACTTTTCAGCCTGCCCGATGTTATATACACTCAGAGTAACGTTAAAAACAGAATATATAAATAATTTGATAATAAGAATACCATATATCAATGAAAACATATGTTTACATTCCGTTAGTTATCAACATTTCAATGAAAATGACTCGCTATATAACGAAATGGTAACGAAAATGACATTCCGTGTTTGCGTCCAAAATTCGTGAGTGCAGGAAAGTTTCGAGCGTGCAGTAAACGTAAAGTATAAATGTAAAGCTAACGAGCAATTTCAAAACAAACATGACCTCGCGATTTAATAATCGGCTTTCAAACACCAAGAGATTAGAATAATTCACCGAAGGAAAATAATAAGATATTGTCGATTTGCTGTGAAATTAGGCAATAAAAGTTGAAAAGGTACACGACATAGTCTCCATGGTAACACTATCACTGTTCCTTCTTTACCATATATGGGCAGCGCAAAGCTTCTTAACTTTCCTGAAAATGATCATATGACCCTAGCTGCCTTAATAACATGGGCAGACGCGAAGGTTGTCTAAAACATCTAAAATTTTAGAGAACTGTAGGGACCCACCTTAATTGTTTTTAAATGTTATAATCCCGCGCCCTGTTCACTGTTGTGAGCCATTTTTCGTCATATTTAATGTGCTTTGGTATTTAAATTGAGAACGACATTGATTGGGGAAGGGAATGGGGGTGGGAACGGTTTTGTGTGTATTAAACCGTAAATATCCAATTACAATGTAAAAATATATGTGTCCCAACAACTTTTTAAAGTAACTGTTTACTACCATTTAGTTTCGTACCGCAAAATGTGGCACACAACAGATAAATTAGTCTTAGACTTAGTAAAAAAGAAGCCTATAGTGCATGGAATTTGTCGAGTCGTTGTACTTTGATATGTTTTATTGTGCTCTCGAGATCGCATCGTTGCTGCATTATTAGCGGCCTTGTCTTATTAATATTTGTATCTATATTATTATTATAGCTTATTAGCTATTAGCGGCCTTGTCTTATTAATGTTTGTATCTATATTATATTTTATGAATAAATTGAATTGAAAAATTGAATAAGACCATAATGAATCTTTCCCATTAATTAAAACTGGCAGAAGAGGGATTTTGTTCGGAGACGGGATATTTGAACGTAAATACTTTTTTAGATCTGCCCATGCCCAATTGCAAAACGTGCAACTTTACGCCATCAGGCAGTTACAAACCGCACTGATTTGTTGTCAATAATGTAAAAATTAACTAAATTATTCCATCTTTTAGATGGAGCATCGCTTCAAGAGAGTCAACTACAACGAACTAAAATGTCCCGTAATTATGGCAACGAAACTTTTTCTTTCAGTCTTTACCTCGTTATATTTTGGTGGAATTATTGTTGTTGCCAACAAAGATATTCCATTTTGCCACAAACTATGGAACGACCTTGGAAACGATTTGGCAGACTGGCGTGAACGATGCTTGGACGGAGAACGCGAAAATATTTCATCACGTTGTCAAGCAGAAAAAGTATATTTTGAAGAGAGACGACGCAGCCACAGAAAAATGTGTTTTTATGAAGGTACGTGCAAGATAATGCAAATGATTATTACTTGAAGTCTTGAAGGAACTGTGCATGCATGGTATCGTCGTTTCTGGGAAAAGCAGATATACATAGTATTTGAATGCATGCTAGTATTAGTGAAGGTAATAGCATGGTTTCAAGTGCAATTTGGATATAACATGCACGAATGAGTTTTTCAATGGCATCAAAATAACACGAGTCCGAAGGACGACAACCTCGTACCCAGGGCTTCTGTGCTTATTGCTCTCAGAAGCCATGGGATAATCCAAACCGGAACACCATAGAACAGTGGTGCCCCCGGAAGCGGAAGTAAACAGTAGCTCCAGCTAAAAACGCTGACTGGGCATATTTTTACGCAAGGAGTGAGAGGGCATTATTTGTTGCAATTTATGATATATTTGGACTTGTAAAGACGTCTTAAACTGCTTCTCGCGTGGCTTTTGGAATTTAAAGTCAGGAATGATCAATTTAGAGATACAATTATGCGTAAAATTAGCCCTTTGGCGAGCAAAAGAACATCTTATATCGCGACAACAGCATACCTTGTCAGCGATATACAGGGGCTATTCAATAATTAAAGTATAAAAATATATCAAAATTAACAGACTAGAAATCTTACTGGTAACATGGCTGGCTGCCGATTATCTTGGATTTGAGGGTTTTGAACAAGATATTGCAAGATTTAATTATAAATGCACAAGATATACTGTACTGTAAACATGCATCTACTTGAAGAATGTAAAATAAACAGTGGTGAGTGATGTAATATAATTCTGTAATTTTATATTTGGAATACCTTTTTGGCAAATCTTGAGAATAATGGCTTTGGGAATCAATGTTGAAAATTCAAAACTGTCAGATAACTGCATGGACAGCATGGTTAGAAGCATACATGTCATCGGATGAAACTCCAACTTTTGTTAATTGCTGATGTTCTAGTATTGGAATGAACAGTGTTATAAGAACCAATGGTGCTGAACTAATTTGGGTTTATCATAAAATATTGTTTGTCATTTAGTTCTGGCCATTAACCTTACTTATTAAGTTATACATTGTGTCTTACTTTTTATTTTACTCTGGTGTGCACCCCCCCCTCCCCCAGGCTCTGGTCAACAGGGGTGCATGGGGGGGGGGGGGTGCAAAAATCACGTTTATCCTAATTCTAACCAACTTATGTTATGGAATTCAGTTGCGTATCACTAGTTGACAATAGTGGAATAGCCAATATTAAATATTCTGAATTTTTAAATGTTTTGAGAATCTAAAACTTTTCCAGAATGTTTTCTCAGAATGCTGGAAATGCCATTTCAGAGACCCAAATTTAAAAAAATTTCCGTGGTAGTATGCCCCCGGACCACCCTAGAAATCTTGCTCGTTTCGCCATTGGTTAGCACCCCCCAAAAAAACTTTGCTGAATCCACCACTGCACCAGATGATTTTATATGTTGGGATAGATCATTGGTGTTCAATGGATTATCTCATAATACACACTAGTTTGTTAACCTACTCTGTCTAATAATCATGCTAATACCATCATTGGCAATGGAATTGAGCAGTGATGTAGCCAGAATTTCTAATTAAGGCCTTCAAGGGGGACTGAAATTCCCAGGAGGGGCCTGCACTAGTTTGAATAAAGTTTGTTAGTATGTAAAAATATATTTGGACTCCCAAGCTATCCATGTATAATATAGTACAATGTAGACTTTTTAAATTCTAGTTAATAAAGTGCCATTTTGGGGGGCTATTTTAATGTGTTTTGGTGATTTGAAATAACCTTGCAGTTAACACATGTTAAACTCTAATTAATTACAAACAAGTTCAGAACATTTAAAATATTTTGACCCCCCACCCCCTCTGGTTACACCACTGGAATTGACTTGAGCCTTTTAGACCTCTGAATTTTAGTTGCAACTTAGAACAGTACGTGTTCTGACATACAAGAAAATTGTAAGAAAATTTAAAATTTGTGCAAAAGTATTTCTCAAATAGGTCGTTCCACACTCCCCCCACAGAGGAAATTTCTGCCGTTCAGAGGGGGAGGGGGAAAATTTTTTCTGATAATAGTAAATGTATTAGGACATCCAAAGGGGTAGAAGGGATTAACTTTCAATTTCCTCTGTGGGAGTGGTATGGGTGTTTTCTGGAATGACCCAATATAACTGTGCTTTTTTTTCTTTTCAAATCTAATCAAACTGTCAAATTGTCAATCCTTGTACATGGGGAGGGGAAATTTTGGAGAAAGAAAAATTGTGACCAATCAGGTTGGGGGTCCACCTGTAGCCCTGGTCATAGGCATACAGGACTGGGCTTAGTTGTTGGGCAGACTAGGCCAGTCGGGCAATATTTACTTCACAGTTGGGCAATATTGACTTATTATAAAAATAAATATGAGAAATTATTCCCTCAATATTGGGGGAAATATGCTATATAATGGTCGAAAATTTAGTTCATTTTGATTAATAGTCCTTTAAAATATGTGCTATCAGCAGTTTCTTTACGGTATTAAGTAACAGATTACAATGTTTGTACATTAGAGACTTAGAGGCACTAATAACTCAACAATAAATAGGCACTGATACAAACTCTGAGCCAGTGCACCCAGCATCCTCAAATTGGGAATAATTTGTAAATTTAAATATTTGTGTATAATTCATAATTTATCCTATTCCAATACAAAATGCAATAAATATAGAACACACAATTTATCAAATAAAGGTAAAAAAGGGATTAAAAACTTTATTATGTAATATTTACATTGAATATCGTGGTTGAAGTTGTAGATTTATACTTGAAATTTCAATTTTCGAACGAGAAATGTTTCGCTTTTATTATGTTAAATTTTGTACTTTGTTCGCCATTCTTGCTTATTTACAAATACAAATAGTCCATTCCTTCTTTTGTTCTTTTCAAAATAGCCCAGAATTTGGTTTAAAAAAGTATTTTCATGCAAAAACCAGCATTTAACTTTTGTATACACTCCTTGTGATAGCAGACATGTTGCCAAAATATCACCCGGTTAATGAATAACTTCCCGTACTTTCATTGTATTCGCATTGACCAATCAAATCACGTTCTGAGCTGGATTATCGCAGGGCTTCTGAGAGCAATAATCGCAGAAGCCCTGGGTACGAGGTTGGAAGGACGAGTGCTATTTGACGTCTTTGATAAACTCACGAGTGCATGTTTATCCAAATTTAACGATTTTTTTGTAATCACAGTGCAATTTTCTGCAATCACAGCGCAAAAATATGTAACAAACTGATCTTATTGGTGGAAAAATATTCAGTGCTGATTAAATCAACCAATCAATTTAAAGAAATTTAGATTAATTAAAGATCAGAAGTATCGGTTACAGATTGCATCAAAACAAAACAAACATGGTGCCGCGCTTGATAAAGTAAAAGTTGCCTTTTTGCGTGGATAATATGGCTTTTATCTTTATTTTTGAATGGAAAAGCATTTACCTTAAACAAGACTAAGAAGAATTATATTGTTGAGTGGATTTTTCAAGCTGTTAGTGTTGCATAATGTGATATATAACAAAGCCAAAAGACATCCGTGGCGCGTCAAATAATTTTTAATTAGGAATAACTACACACTCACATTTTGTGTTAATTAACCAATACGTTGTTGCTTTCTCAATCTGAGTAACAAGTAAGGCAATGCACAGTATTTTTTCCGTTCTGATCGATATTCTTTAATTAAACAAAATATAGTTATGGGTCAGCTGCAAAGGGTCTTAATCACGACATAGGTCATTATTATCTGCTTCAGTTCCACCTCAGGATATTATTCTTGAAATAATTTTCACACTCATGGAATAGGAGTGCACTGTTTCTCATAACACATGGCTGGCATCACCAGCAACTGTATCATTGTATATTAATTAAACTGCAAAAAAAATTGCACTTTAAAATATAAAAGAAGAACTTAATTATACATTAATACGCTCTGTGAACATTCTCAATCAATTATTACGAGTATCATCCTTTCACGATAATACAGTTTATTATTTTGAAATAGAAAATATTTTGCAGGTCCTTTCCCAGAGCCTTACTTGCTTGCTGTCAGTGAAACAAGAATAGCAGTTGTTGATCTAACATCGAATTATTCAACAGTCGTTATCGATGAAGGCCAGGGTATCGAAAACTTGATAATTGACCCTGTTGAAGGGAACATGTATTTCAAAAGTGGGACAAAAGTGTTCCGAGCGAATTTTGATGCCTCTCAAAAGGAAATAATATATCAAGATGAAGAAAATGCTATACAAGTATTTGCATTAGACTGGATAAGACGACACATGTTCTGGGTGGATTCAAAGAAAACGAAATCGGTATTTGTGGGTAATGTGAGCCTCTCTAACGGAACAGATTTCCATGGTAGTGAAAACAACATCACAGGTTTGGCTGTCGATCCTAATACAGGGTAAGTCACGAGGCATTTATCACTGCAGTATGCTAAAAACGTGGATCATTAATATATGTCGGATTATCATAATTAAACCATATTAAACAATAAAATTAATTATGGCTACATATTTTGAGGAAATTCTAGCCCAATTCTTGCCTTGTTCTCAAAACGAGATTTTTTTCTTGAAATATTGCTTGATAAGAAATAAATACTTAAAACAAGAAAAATAATCTAAAAAATAAGAATATTATGCTAAACTATATTTTGTTGTTTTGCAGTGCATGATTTTAGTACGTGAAATTTCACTTTTATCGTTCATGTGAAATCCTTTAAATCACATATGAAATTTCACTTGTATAACTTCATAGCCTAATAAAATCCTTTAACATGTGAAGATAAGATTGATGCCTGTAAGATAAGTTTCGAACCATTTTAAACTATAACGGTCGATACCATAATGTTCTAATTTCTGTAAAATTATCTGATGATCAATAGTAGCAAAGGCTTTTTTCAGATCAATGAAAACAACCCCATTAATTAGACCATTATCTATATTAACAGACCAGTTATTTGTAGCCTCCAGCAAAGCTGTTACTGTACTATGCAATGACCGAAATCCAGATTGACAGGTGGTCAACAGATTGTTGTCGTTAAAATATTTATTAAGTTGGTCAAAGATAATTTTCTCAAAAATCTTTGAAACCGTTGGAATCACCGATATAGGCCTATAATTGCTCGGATCATTCTTTGCATCGTTCTTATACACTGGCGACACCCTTGCTTCCTTCCATTCGTCTGGAAATATTCCAGTATGAATAGATTTAGTAAGTATCTCTGTTAGAGAAGGTGCAATCACACCTGCCGCCATTTTTAGCAATTTATTTGGTATTTTATCAAGACCAACAAATTTTTTTTCATCAATCGTTTTCAACAATCTGTGGACTCTATCAATCGTAGGAGTTTGCAGGTTGAACGTTTTATCTGTAGGTGTGAGATAGAGCTCTGGGTTATACTCAGAAGCGGGTATTTTAGCTGCAAGATCAACCCCAACATTTGAGAAATGGCTATTAAACGTTTCAGCCATTTCGACAGGTGAAGTTAAAACTTGCTCGCCTATTTTAATTTCCGAAATTCTTTTCATTTTCGTACAGTTTCGCGAATTTATTTCATTAATTAACTTCCATGTTTTTTTCAAATCTCCTTTATGTTTATCAAGATTTTTGTAAAGTAAAGTCGCTTTGTTTTTTTGATTTCATTGTTGACCTGATTTCCTGCATGTCTATATTGAGACAATTTTTGTGAGTCTTTGGAAGAGATGGCTCGTTTTTTTAAGAAATCACGATTGGAAATTAAATGTCTTAATTCATTGGTTACCCAGGGGGGTCGCTTGCTGCTGACTCGCCTGGTCCTAAGTGGTGCATGCCTGTCAATTACATTCATTAATAAATCTTTCCATGTTGCCCACATTACATTTGGGTCTTCATAGTGGTGGACATTTTCCCAAGGTTGTTGTCCCAGTTCGCTTAGAAAACTATCTCTATTAAACGTTTTCACTGAACTAGTCTCTATGTTTCTTGTCCCTGTCTGTACATAATGTGCCTTGCGTATAACATAGACCATCGAGTGGTCACTAATTGAAAGATGAATTACACCAGAATCAACAGTTGTTGATAATGAGTTTGTTAGGCAGAGGTCAATCATAGTGGTAGATTTCTCGGTAATTCGTGTTGGTTCTTCAATCAACTGATGCAGGCCATAGATATCAAATAATTCGGTTAATGTGTGTTTTTACATGAGGAGTTAGCCGCCGGTGTGAAATTAACATTTATGTCCCCAAGAGGAAAATATTCTAAATTTTCGGCGTCAAGTGCCCCAATCATTGTTTTGAACTCGGCAAAATGACTTACTGGAGAATCAGGAGGTCTGTACCAAGTGCTTACCAAAATAGATTTTGATCGTGGTTTTGTAATCTCTACGATCAGATTTTCTAGGATTTCTGATTGCAGATCATAACGTATTTTATAGTTTATGTTTGAACGAACATAAAGACAAACTCCACCGCCTTTGCGGCATTCACTTTTTGATTTCTCCTAATTATTTCAAAACCTGGTAAACAAACCTCCTGATCACTAATTGTGAGGTCAAGCTTGGTTTCATTGATACATAATATATCAATTTTATTACTACAAATAAATATACGTAATTCATCTATATGTGCTATAAGACTGTCAATGTTTAAGCATGCCATTATCGTTCCTCGAAGGAAAGACTTTGTGGTTATATTAAAATTAGTGGTGTTTAACTCACCAAATCCTTCTACTATTTGATCATCACTATCTGTTTGTTGTAGTTCAACAATACTTGACTCCCAAACGGCAATGTGCTAGTCTTTTTTATTATGAATATACTTATTAAAATTACGAGATAGCATTGCTGTCCCCACTTTGTTGAGATGAATCCCGCTTCGATTAAGATGATTTGATATAATATTATGATGTCCAATGAATTTCTAATGGCGTTCGAGACAAATTTCTTTCAAAACTTTGTTAACCTGATTCACTTTATTTGCAAGATCACCATTATCTACCCGAGTAATTAGACCAGATATTATAACCTCTGTCTCAGGTAAAGTATTCTTGACTGACTCTGCTAGCGAGATTACTTCTTCCGCATGTTTAGTAGAAGTTTCCCTACTCTTAAGGCTATTAAGTGCCAACATGCAGAATAAGTTTGTCAGGTCGTTTTCTTTGTATGGGTTTGACGTGGTCTGCCATATCTAAGATAGTGCATCCAGGAAATGTTGAGACTTGGACCCTCCTATTTTTTGCAGACATTCTATATCCATTTAAGTGCTTAATCATTGAATCACCCGCTATTATGACTTTTGTAGGCTTAGTTGTTTCACTATTATGGGCTCTACTTTGCTCCTCTTGCATATTACTGCTGCTTTCCTTGGTTTCTCCTTGACTATTAGAATGGCCATTTGCATTCAGTTCTTCTGGCATTGTATCCGCGAGTGCTATATTTTCCTCTGTAACAGCACTCGTTGATGCGGTTTCCACTGTAATAGCATTGGTTGATGCAGTGGGCAATCTTTCTTTGGTAACATACGTAGATCTCTTTCTCCTTTTCTTCGGTGTCTTTGCTGCAGTCCAAGCGTTCTTTTGCTGATCATTTGCATTATTGTTCCTGTCACTGTAATTAGTATGCTGTAAATTGTCTTCTTGTAATAATCTAATTACCGTTGTGAGGCTACATTTTTCACTTTGCAATTCGTTTACTTTTGTTTTAAGTTGTTTTATTGTGGATTTAGCTGATTCCAAGTCACTTTGTAAGCGAACATTCTCCCTTCGTAGCGACAGATTACTGTTGCAAGGTACGGTGGGATCATCAATCTTATGAGCGTCCATTCGAATTTGCAATAGCTTCATTTCAACTTCGATAGATAGATAGATAGATAGATAATCTGTTTGATAGATAGATAATCTGTTTATTAAAATCACCTAGCAGCCATGCATAGAGCTGAATTACATGATTCTTATACAAAGTGTTTAAAACAATTACAAAAATTCCTAATTTAATATTATAAAGAGTATCTCTTAACTATTAGTTCTGTATTATAAAATACCAATTTTTACGAGTTTATTAGACTAGATATTATAAAAGTATCTCTATATCTATTAGTACGATATTTTGGAATATTAAAAAGTTTTTCGTTCCTAAAATTATATGTATCGGATGTCACCTTAGGTGGCAGTAAGTTGTGAAGCTTATGGTCCTCATTGTCCAGAATCGAGTTAAAAAGTTTCTTACATAAATCACGCCTGCGTGTAGATAAAGTCTTTAATTCTAACATGTCTAGAGCATCCTGGTAGGACAGTTGAGGGTAAATTATGCGCAGTGGTCTCTTTTGAATCCTTTCAATAACATCAGATAGGTATTGTGGCAAGCCATAATGAAAAACTTGGCATGAATATTCCAGTATTGACCTTATTGAAGCGACATAGAAGCACTTGAGATCACCAGCATCAAGTCCAAACCTTCTGAGTTGTTTCAACAGGTAAATTCACTGGGATGCCTTATTGATTTTTTTTTCCACGTGATCGTTCCATTTCAAGTCCTTTGTGATTGTTAAACCAAGAATCGATATTTTGTCAGCTCGTTCGATTTGTGATTGATTAATACTGATGGGGGGGAAATTTGGTTCATTCCGTTTAAAAGACACAACAAATTCTTTACATTTTGATGGATTAAGCTGGAATTTATTTCTTTCAGACCAGTCAACAATAGAATTAGTTACTGCTTGCAGATAACTGTTTTCTGCCTGATCGGTGATGTATTCTGAAATATTAGTATCGTCCGCATATTTCATCATATCCCCACCAAATTGATCGTTAGAAACTACAACGTCATTGATCATCAGCAAAAAACGCCATGGGCCGAGTTTAGTTCCTTGAGGGACTCCAGCATTGACAGGTTTCCAATTGGAAAAACAGTTTGGGGAAAGTTTTACCCTTTGTAGTCTTCCCCTCAAAAAGTCTGAAATCCAGTTTAAGGTTGATGTTTTTAGAACTATTCCCTGACGTTTTCTATAAAGAGTATTATGATCTATAAGATCAAAAGCTTTCCGATAGTCCGTGACCAGTGAGCGCACACATCCTCCCTCTTTGTCTACTGTCTTTGACCAACGGTGGATTAAAGTAATTAAAGACAGGGTGGTGTTAGAACCTGGTATGAAGCCATATTGGTTACAATCCAGGCGATCCATTATTGCCGGTTTTAGATCGTATTTTATTATGGCATCTTCAGCGATTTTACTGAGTGTTGAGGTAAGAGATATAGGTCTAAGATCTTTATTAACATCTATCACCTGTTTAACTTTTGGTATTGGGCAGATGTGATGATCTGACGTGACGCGCTTGACGGGCGAGCAGCGAGTCAAATCGCTCCGTAAAATTACCAAATTTCGACCCTATTTCTACGACTTTTTGGGTTAAATTTATAAAAGAATTGTGGATAAAGTGACTATCTTTGGGAAAGTGAAGTTGGTGTGGTAAAATTTTAAGTATTGCTCTGTATTTTGTTGAATTATTTTTCAAATTGCAAGAGAATTTACAACTGGTTTATAAGCACGCGCAAGCCGGACGGTTGAATTTGGCGTGCGCATACGACTACGTGATAAGTTTGCGCGCGTGATTCAAAGGACGATCTTACGAACTGTGTTCGACTCGAGCGCGTGCGGAATTACGGTCATCTATTATTTTATTTTATTTTAACAACTTTAATTTGGCACATAAAAAACTGAATATTTACATAACTTAAACGGATAATTACATTGTACAAGAAGACGAGGAAAGTGCCAAAAGTGGCGAAACACAAACGAGACTATGTCCCATGCAAGGTGCTCACCACTAGACAACAAACAAAGACAAGAAACAAAGACAAGGAAGATTAAATGAAAAGACTAAGGGAATGACAAGGCAGAAAGAATGAAAAGACAAAGAGAGAAATGTTAGATATTTTTATTGAGTCGTGATAAGTGAGTGTGAACTAGGTAAGTCAGGAGTGTAGGAAGTACTAGTGAGGTAGATGTAAGTCTTGCGCAAGTATGACTTAAAAGAGGAGACAGTGACATAACAATACGAAGGAGCAGACGTACAAACATAGTTCCACAGTTTAACAATTCTAACACAATACGAACTTTGAAATGTACTTGTTTTACATGCTTGTGTTCTCAGAAGACCAGAAGTGGCCGCGCGTGTCCTTCCCGTTGTAACTTCAACATACTGCGATATGTCGAAATCTGTGAGACCGTACATACATTTATAGAAAAATATCAAGTCCTTCTGTTCTCTGTCGTATACAAGCGGGATTAAATTAAGTTGCATTAAGCGCTGTTTGTAACTTAGTTCTCCGCGTTTCTTCTTTAGTATCCACAGCGTTGCTCTTCTTTGAACTCCTTCGATTTTCTTTGATAAGTGGCTGTTGTTTGGAGGGCACCATACCTCGCTTCCATAAACAAGTTGAGATTTAACTAGCGTTAGATATAAGGTCCGTCTGACTTGGGTGTGGTTAATGTCAAAGCATGAGCGTTTGAGGATACCAAGCATTTTATTTGCCTTCGCCACCATCTTGAGTATGTGTGGGCCCCATTTCAAATTGCTGGTCACGAGCATACCAAGATCTTTCTCGACTTGACAAGGAGATAATTCATTACCATATATGCGATATGGAAATCGCGTTGGGTGTTGCTTTCTTGATATTGTCAGCACTTTGCACTTTTCAGTGTTAAATCGCATTTTTGAATCAGTGCTCCACTTTTCCAGTTTGGCAAGGTCGTCTTGCAGGAGCTGGCAATCTTCTACCGATTTTATTTCTCTGTATAATTTTGAATCATCTGCATACAGTGCTGAGTTCGTACTGGGTGAAACGTTATTGGGAAGATCATTTATGAATATGACAAAGAGCAACGGTCCCAGAATACTGCCTTGCGGTACACCTGATGTTACTGGAGACCATGCAGAGGCTGCACCATCAATGACAACTCGCTGCCATCTATCATTCAAGTAATTTTCGAACCATCGTAAAAGCGTTCCGTTTATGCCATGCATTTGTAGTTTGTGAAGTAGGATGTCATGATCTACAGAGTCGAACGCTTTCGAGAAATCTAGGTATAGCACATCGATTTGTTTGTTTCGATCCAGATTTTTGCCAATGTCATGTAGTATACCTAGAAGCTGGGTTATACATGAACGATTTCTTAAGAAGCCATGTTGGACATTATTGATCAGTACACGAACAAAAGGGTAAATGTTATTGAAAACGCATCTTTCGAGAACTTTGGAAATTATTGGCAGAAGGGAAATGGGACGGTAGTTGGTCACGGGTTCGACACAGTCTTTTTTGTGGATGGGTATAACGTTCGCATGTTTCCATTCCATAGGTAGGCGGCCTGTTGTTAAGGACATGTTGAACAAACTGCAGAGGCTTGTCGAGATTTCTCTTGAGAGTTCTTTCAGTAGACGTGGTGGTATTCCGTCTGGGCCATAAGCCTTTGTTGTGTCCAAATGGTTAAGGTACTGCTCGACTTCATTCTGCGAGATCTGAATATCAGATATTATTTCGTAAGTTTTTTGTGTCATGTTCAGGTTTGCATCTTGGGAAGATGACTTCGGAAGAAAAACAGAGGCGAAGAATGCGTTGAAAAGTTCTGCTTTTTTGTGTGGTGTTGTTGCAGTTGAGTTGTTGTACGTGTTAGCAGGTGGGGAATTTCTATTGCGGAGGATATGTTTGTGGTAGGACCAGAATAACTTAGGTGATTTTGCGAGGGAATCTTGAACTTTTTCTATGTATTGATGGCGTTTTTGTTTAATCAAGTCCTTAGTTTCCTGTGTCAACTGACGGAGTTTGCGTTTTCGTCCTTCCGTTCGTTTCTGACGATATTGTCGTAGAGCTGTATATTTCTTCTTAATCATGTGTTTAACATCCCGGTCTATCCAAGGTGGTGTGTTTGTGTCAACGACTGTCTTTTTAGGTACAAATTTATCTATCGCTGTACGTGATAAATAGATCTTTCCATGCTTTCCAACATTCGTCTATATCTGAATTATTGGATATCGCAGAATCGAGAGGGACATTCATTAGATGTTCACGAGTACCGTCGAAGTTTGCATTATTGAAGTCATACACTGTTCGTCTTATCGATTTTGCTTTTTGAAAACAAACTTTGATATCGAACTCGATAAGGTAATGATCAGTTGGAAATAGATCAGTTGGATTTGTGCAGTTCACGTTCGTGATGAGCTTCGGAGAATTCGAGAATACACAGTCCAATTTATTACCATGCAGGTGTGTCGGACCGACAGCTTTTTGGTAGAGGAATTGATCTGTAATAATCTCGCAAAAAAGTTCCTCCTTGAAACTGCCTTTAGATGTGGGAGAAGGAAAGTCCAATGACCAGTCAATATTGGGTAGGTTAAAATCACCGACCAGAACAAGTTGACATGATTCATCTAAACGATCAAGAGAGTCTCTCAACTCAATTAGTATATCTTCTTCAGAATTTGGTGGTCTATAGAAGAGACTTAATAGGAATTTCGAGCAGTTCGCAGGATACAGTTCGATCATGAGATGTTCACTTTGTTGACCTTCAAGTAGAAGTCTTCGAGATGAGCGCAGTTCATTTCTTATCGCTACAAGGACTCCGCCACCTCTCATGTTCCCGTGTCGGTCTTTTCTATGAATGGTATAACCGGGTAGAATTTCGTTATCAAGAATTAATTCATTTAACCAGGTTTCGCACACACATACGATATCAGAACGATACGATATCATACGATATTAGAACAATTATATGAATAACTAGTGACTCAATTATAACTTTTCGGAAAATACGAATTAAAATGCTTAAAACCCACCAAACTTTCGCCAAATTAGCATCAATTTGGACTATGTGTCTCGTGGTGTCCTTCTGGCTGTCAACAAGATCTAAACCTGATGTGAACATTATCGTAAATGCAACTGGAAAAGGCATTCTTATTTCCCCGGAACTTGCCATCTTACCGGACAAACTGTGCTTTATCTGGGCTTCAACGCGTGATAAAAAGTTACGAAAGTTTGCCCTTCCCGACAAACATCGTTACGGACTGGAGTTTCACATTTCTCGCAAATGTTCTCACGTTGTGCTACTTATTTTCCTTGCTGGCGACATAGCAACCAACCCAGGTCCTACAACTGGTTCACGTGAAACAGACAATTCAAAAACTAGTCTCGGGTTAAAAGTTCTGTATTTAAATGCCAGAAGCCTAAAAGCATTTGTTCATCCAATTGGGGACAAATCGGTAAAAGTTTGTAAAATCTCGTTATTGCAACAACTGGCATATGGTGGTAATTACGACGTTGTATGTGTATGTGAGACCTGGTTAAACAATTTAATCTTAAGCAGTGAGATCTTGCCTAATTATGGATCTATCTTCCGATGTGACAGAGCTGACAGAATTGGTGGTGGTGTTCTTGTTGCTGTGAAGACTGGTATACAAGTCACACGCAGACATGATCTAGAACCTGATAATACGGAACTTGTTGTTACTGAGTTAATGAAATCTAACAACAAACCAATTATACTTTACACGTTTTATCGTCCCCCCGACTCTAAACCCGATGTCCTTCAGCAGCTAAATTATTCTATCCAAAACAATCCAGAATCAAGTCGTATTGTATTGATAGGCGATTTTAATCTACCATCAGTTAAATGGTCGTCTGATCAGAAAACCCCCATCAACATCGGAGGACCTGCTGAGAATGAAATCTTTAGCGATTTGGTAGACGACAACTTCCTTCTGCAATACATACTTGGCCCTACCCATACTGCTGGTAATAAACTCGATCTGTTGATGTGTATCTCTCCTGAAATCGTCGGCGACGTCTCCGTTCTCCATCCCGAGACCTGTGGTTTCCCAACAGATCACTACATCGTGGAATTTGACGTGAAGTTGAAGTTTAAAAGAGCCAAGCCAATAAAGCGCCGAGTATTCGACTATGGAAAAGGAAATTTCGATGAGCTACGTAACTTCCTGACACGATATCCCATCAATGTTACCCCAACTGATAGCATTAATGATGACTGGGAACAATGGAAGGACACTTTCTTAACTACGGTGAGAAGGTACATTCCGATGAGAACTGTCAAAGACAAAAATAGTCCACCATGGATCGATAAAGAAGTGCGTCAACTAATCCGTAAGAAGTACAAAGTTCTGAAACAATACCGCAGGAACAAATCTGCTGATCGAAAGCGTAAATTACGAAGCGTTACTCAACAAATCAAATACTTGATTCGAAGTAAACACCGAGGCTATCTTGCTAAAATAGGAAGTTCGTTCTGTGACAACCCCAAACTATTCTGGAGTTCCATAAATCAATTATTCACCACCGGACAGGTCAGAGCAACGAAATAACATATAATGGTTTTACAGCCAAGACGGCGAAAGAAAAAGCGGATCTTTTTAACACTTACTTTTCTTCAGTGTTTCATCCATCTTCTACCACTTGTAACCAGACGCCTCGAACGGAAAGCAAAGAGAACATGTTGGAGATAACAATCGATGTAGACGAAGTTGCGCAATTTTTGCGTGCCCTTGATACCTCGAAAGCATGTGGCCCCGACGGCATTCCAGCTCGCCTGTTACAAGTATGCGCCCTTGAAATCGCACCAAGCATATGTGAGTTGTTTAACCGTTCCTTGCATACTGGTCATGTTCCATCTGAGTGGAAATCTGCGAATGTTACACCCGTCCACAAAAAAGATCTTAAAGAACCGGCGGAACATTACAGACCAATATCGTTGCTGCCCATCGTTGGAAAAGTACTAGAGCGTTGCGTGTGCATCAGACTATATAATCATGTCAGGCACCTCGTCACAAAAGCACAACATGGCTTCCTTAGACGGCGATCTTGCGTTAGTCAACTACTATCGGTACTACACGCCATCAGGCAATCCCTTGATAAAAACGTTCAAACTGACGTTATCTACCTCGACTTTGCGAAAGCTTTTGACTCTGTCGATCACCAAATTCTCCTCCACAAGCTTGCGTCATACGGTGTGTCAGGTCATTTATATGAATGGTTCGCGGACTATCTCAGTGGTCGTCGTCAAAGGGTTGTGATTGATGGAGCTACATCTAATTGGGTGCCAGTTACATCTGGAGTGCCGCAAGGCAGTCTCCTGGGTCCTATTCTGTTTGTGATATTCATAAACGATCTTCTCGACATATTACCTGACGAGACTTTGGCAGCTTTGTTTGCAGACGACACCAAACTGTACAAGTCCATCACATCAGTAGGTGACTGTGAAAGTTTGCAACAAGCTTTAACAGACCTTGACTGCTGGAGCCGTGACAACAACCTCAATTTTAACCAGTCGAAGTGTAAGGTGTTGACAATTACAAGGAAAAAAAACCGCTGACGTACGCATATCACATGGGCTCAAAGGAACTTACTCGTGTGAATAAGGAAAAAGATCTTGGTGTCTTCATAAATTACAACCTCTCATGGGACGATCATGTTCATACCATCACCGCCAAAGGGAGCAAGATGCTTGGCATGCTGAAAAGAACTTGCCCTCTACTGACTAACACCGCAGTGAGGCGGACGCTGTACTTGTCACTCGTGAAGTCCCAGATAAGTTACGCCACCGAAGTCTGGTCTCCTACCATCAAAATGAGATCCACAGTGGAACGTGTACAAAGGAGAGCCACCTCTTGGATACTGCAAGCCAAGCGCGGAGAAATTGCATATAAGCAGCGGCTGATAACCCTTGGCTTATTACCCCTGTGCTACGAGAGAGAAATAAAAGACTTAGTGTTCTTTTTTAAGGCACTGTATGGACATATTGATCTTGACTTGCATAGTTTCGTTTCATTTGTCAACAATGGCCGAACACGACTTAGTCGAAATCCTTCTCTCACACTCAAAATTCCTTTCTGTAAATCCAAAACATTTCAATCCTCATATTTCAACCGGCTTGTCAAGTTATGGAACCACGTCTGCAAAATTTTTCCCTCTACCACCTTTGCCAGCCTCTCCATCTTCAAAAGATCTCTTAAAGCCACTTACGCTAACTTGGTTACGGCAGCATTTGACGTGGACATGCCATGCACCTGGACACTGGTGCGGGACTGCCCCTGCCACAGATCTTAAGTAGTTTTAATAGACGGTTCCTCTTATTGTGTTCCCTGAATGCAACCACATTATGCTTGTGAGTTTGAAATTATTATGCTAACACATCCGTGAAGCATTCATTATGCTTGTGAGTTTGAAATTATTTTGCTAACACTTCCGTGAAGCATTCAGGTGGTTGCGATCATGGTCATACTAATAGGGGGAAGCGGCTTTTATATATTTGTATTTTATGTATGTGTGTATTTATATTTATGTACGTATTCGCTGCTTCGGGGTTTGCACCTTGCATGGGACTTCGCGTCTCGTTTGTGCTTATGCCATTTGAGTTCATATTAATTATACATAATATTAATTATATATAATTATATATAATATTAATTATATAATGTAATGTTCTCAATAAATATATTTGAAATAAAAGATGTTAGCCATTTTGAAGCAGGCAGGCACTCGATTTTCCTTAAATGATGTGTTTATAATGATTGAGATTGGCATTGCTAGAATAACTGGAAACTTCTTTAAGACCCAGTTGGGAAGGCAATCTGGGCCACTGCATTTTCCCAGCTTAACACCATTTAACGATTTAAAAACTTCTTCAGTCAAATAAATTATACTATTATTATCGGTCATGGTAAAGGTACTATCAGATAGTGGCTGGTAGTCGCACATAGGTTCCAAGAAAGAGTCATTTATCAAGTTACTAAGTGAATCGAGGTCTTGTGTATCTTGTTGCAGGTTTGCAAAGATATTACTCGTCGACTTTTGTTGATGACCGCAGAGACGTTTCACCTCCTTCCACCAATCTTTAGGTTTAGTGCGTTTGAGTTCTTTCACCTTAGCTTCATAATATAATTTACGACAGTTTTTCCTAGATCGATTTACTTTATTCCTTAACTGTTTATATAAAGCATGTTTGTTCTGCGCAAGAGCCTTTTGTCTTTTTTTAATCAAACGTTTCAGGTTGCTGTTCATCCAAGGTTGATCACTTTGATGAACCTTCACAGTCTTCAGTGGCATTAGGGTATTAAGTCCATACTTTATAACGTCAGTAAAGTTATTCAGGTTTTGATCACAAGACTGGTTTGGATTAACCACAATGTCCCATGGCACTTCGCATAAAAATCTTCCTAGGCGACGGATGCTGCTAGGCCTCTTGTCCCGCACGTTGATAATAGTTTCTTTAGACTGGTTACCACGAATTTTTTCTTTAGAAAAGGCAACAACAGTAAGGTGGTCCGATAAACCAAGTGGAGGAGTACTTAAAGCCTCTTCGTAGAAGTTGGACAAATTTGTCAAAATTAGGTCTAATTTACTTGTTCCTCTAGTATTAAATTTTTACAATCTGCCTGAGTTGAAATTGATGGCTGATATGTCTTATAGGTAGTTTATTAAAATCTCCTGCTAGGATTAAGCCGCAGTTAAGATATCTGGTTTCCAATAACTCTAATGATGACTGTAAGTATTCTAGCATATCTGACTTATTTGCAGTGGGTAGGTGGTATAAAACTGTAATGTAATGTAATGTAAACTCCTTGCAATAACAACTACGGGAATTGTTCGTATTATAACAAAATTCAGAGGTTTTGTCTGCTTCGTATTCACTTACATTGTTTGTCTGCTGTGAATAGCTATCAGCATTACATGCCAAACAGCTATGAGACTTTTTGCTTTCGCCCGCCATATTGCCTTCGTGTCGAAGCTCGCTGTTTGTATTGAGCTTGTCGGTAATCATCGTAGCTAACTTCTCTAGTTTCTCGACGAGACTTTGGTTGTGATCATCACAAACAATCGACAGTTTTTTCTTACTTCTTCCATGCCATTTTAAGATGTAATTGCAGCTAGTAAATAGCGTTACTTCGCCACCCGGCGACGTCCATTTTCCTTGAAGTTGCAACTCGTATTTCACAAAGGCTTTTAATTCTTCCAAAGATCCCTCCCAGGCAAATTCTTTGGCTGAGTAAATAAGATTAACTGCCTTAGATGTTAGATGCTCTTCCTCATTATTGTTACCTTGCGGATAGGCAAAGTAATCTTCTATAATCACGGAGTTTCCAAAGTATGTCCTTCGTCCATGACTGACGTAATGGAAAGGAAACAAGAACAAGAGGTACATGTGCTAGAACTAAACAGAAATGAGTTTTAATGTAAATTGTTTATTAAACATTCTAGGTAATTCTAACAAATTATTTTCTTAATTTGTAGCAAATAATTGGATCAAGAGTTGTCGATATGGACACATTAAAAAAGGACTATCAAAATGCCTACTTTGCTCTGAGGGTAAGAACTAACTATGTTAAGTAGATAGCTGAGTTGAATAAAGGGTATCTAAACTTTGTGTTTTTACAAATAATTTATTTATTGTTATCATGCAAACATCACATCCCCTGCATTTAAAAAAAAATTGTTTACACATTTTACCAATATTTCACATTTAGATGACCTTTCAATAATTATTTCTACAATATAATTTCTGACAATCTTTAATGTTTTCCCCACCCCTTTATTGAAATTATTACTGTACAAATATCCAGTTGCAATACTTTTACATTTATGTGTAACAAATGACCACAGTCGCAAATTCTGTTTCATTTAATATGTAACTCTCTCCCATCCATGAACTCATAATTCATCATGGATAAAGGACGATTGTACATACCCTGGAATTATTCAGGGTCTATCAGAGATACTGTATAGATTTTGAACAGTGACAGTGATTAACTGATTTTCAAGAGTCCAATGAAAATGCAGTATGGCACAAGGTGACATGTTTTTCTTTAATGTTTATACTTTACAGGTCCGTTATCTCTAGATAACATCAAAAAAGAGAAATTGGTTGGGCTAGGAAGCATACTGTATGTGCAATGTATGAAATGTTATCACCTAAATGAAGTTTGCACATCATCACATCATAGGTCAGGCAAACGTGGACCACCTTGTATGGATGCAAATACCAGAGTTGTGTTGGGGCGTTTGCATGCTGAAATTGGGCACACATATGTCAACCATCTTCTTTCCACAATAAATGTACCAACAATAAGCCATAAAGCTTACAAGGTTCGTGAACGGGAAGTAGGTTCTTGTGTTGAAGTTTTGGTGAAAGAGAGCTGTAATGATGTTATCTGCAAAGAGAAAAATAGCAATATAATGTTGAAAATGAAAAGGATGGTGTGACCGAGAAGGCTGCATCGTATGACATGGGATGGCAAAAGCGAGGAAAGGGTCACAATTCCACAACTGAGCATGGTGCAGTAATGGGTTGTGTACGGGAAAAGTGATGGATTATGCCACTAGATGCAAGAACTGCAGGTTTTGTGAAGAAGCTAAGGCTAAGGTGAAACGAGCTACAGCACATGACTGCAGGAAGGGAAAAATCACGAAGGCTCTTCAAAGTCAATGGAAAGTTCTGTTCTATGTGAACTATAGAACAAAGCACCATTGTCAAACACAAGATATACCATATACATTGGTGGTGATGATGATACAACCACACTAAGCCACATGCACGAGAAAGTACCCTATGATGTTGAGAAATGGTCTGACATTACACATGCAAAAATGTCTCTAACAACCAAATTATATAACATTAGCCAAGGAAACAAGTTTAAAGACAGTTCTTCACTTTCACACAAAGTTATCAACTATCTTTCGAAATGTTTTAGTTACTGTGTTGCTCAGAACAAAGAAATCCTTCACAGCTTAAGAAATCTCTGTCACAAATTGTCCCACATGCCTTTGGTGCCCACACTTTATGCGACTCATATTGGTGCAGTTTTATTGAGAACCCAGCTACCTACACACACACAATGATCTGCCACATGGTAAAGACCTCCATGGTGAACAACTCAAGAAAGTCTTAACAGAACTCTTCAATGAATATTGTACTGACGCTGTTATATCAAAGTCTCAGAGAAGTGAATCACTAAACAGTGTGATTGGTACAAAGAACCCGAAGACCAGATATTATGGTGGCAGTAAAAGCAGTTATTTTCGTGTTGCATGTGGAATTGCACAAGTAAATGTTGGATATGGCTACATAAGCAATTCATTGGAAAGACTAAACATTGAACCTGGAGAACTTTGCACAACTTATGTGACTAATATGGACAAAAAAACAGCCACTGCCAAATTAAGAAAAGGACAGAAAAAATCTAAGTATCGTAGAAATCAACTACGTTGTCAAAAAAATTCAAAGCTTGCAAAGGGTGAGAAGAAAGAAGGCAAAACATATGAGTCAAATATCGGACTTAATCTACAGTTACCAAATTCTGATAACACATCAGTTGACCCTCTACACCTCACTGAATCTGTAACCGAAGAACAACATCAAAGGAATGAGAAACTAGTTCCAGAGTTCTGCCAAAAACCACCAAGCAAAGCTATTGCATATGATCCACAAAAATGCTATAAGTTGATGTTTGATACCGAGACAACAACTACAGGGTTGCAGGCAGAGACTTGTCAGCTTTCAGCTACTGATGATGATGGACAAAATGAATTTTCATGTCATATTATGCCTGAAGGAGATGTGAGCAAGTATGCACCCGAAGTAAACAAACTAGAAATATCCAGTATAAACGAGCAAAGGGAACTCTGCCACAAGAGGGAGCCGGTAAGATGTACAACAAAGAACCAAGCCCTGAATTGATTTACAAATTACATCACTAAGGTAAACCACAACAATGATGAAAATAATAATGTAAATAATATACCTGTTCTCGTCGGACATAATTCATTGGTGTTCGATGTCCCGATTCTTTTGCGTACATCCACTACAGAATTCATCCAAACACTAAAGGAACTTAACGTCCACTTTGGAGACAGCTTAGTTCTTGCAAAGCAACTCTTGAAAGCACAACATCCTGAACTTCGAGTGGATTCAGCTGGGAAATGTTGTCAAGTTTCATTTTAGTCTCTGTATTCATCCTTTTTTGACGAATCATTTCCAGCACATGACGCTAGAGAAGATGTTAAAGCTCTACAAAGGGTATTCTTCCAGTTCAAGTTAAAGTTGACTAAAGAAATGTTAATTTCAAAATCGAATGTCATTTCTTGTGTAAATGCATTGGAGCAACTCCAGTATAATGATGCCTGTCACGTTCGACTTCAAACTTTCTCCGGTAATATGTACAATCCATCTAAGAATATAAAGGGCATAATCACAAAATCCATGGCCAAGAAGATAGCAGAAAGCGGTATAACGTACCAAAACCTCGTTGACTTGTTTCGACAGGCTGGAAGAGAGGGGATCGTTTCGATTCTAAGCTTGACCCCATCGGCTGCCAGATCGACGAAACCACAAATAACCAGTAACCGATGTATCTTGAATGCTATAAGCTCCTTTTTTACAACATAGTACTGTGGATCACCAGTTGAAAATACTGTATATTTGTTGTAAACTTGAAATCGGTCTGCCATACTATACAGTCTTTCAATAATAAAACGATATAATATTTCACACTTTCACGCTTCGATATTTTCTAATCGCAAGCAAACCCAAGAGTATTTAGTAGCATAAATAGTTTAAAAGTAAACAAGTACTGTTCTAAACTTCACGTTGTTGTCTATTTAATTTCAATACAAGTATAAAAATCCGAGTAAAAACCATCTTTCTGTGGATTCCACCCAAGACACAAAATATGCACATTGTTATTTCGCAACCGTGAGCGCCGCGTGGACTACTCTCGTGAACGAGAGTTTTTTGCATGACCACAGGAGGCCCAGGTTCGATTTGCCCGCGCCCGCCTGTGCCTTCCTTATAACGAGGGAAGGAAGGAAACATTGAAACCAAAATAGCCCACACTTGGCATATGTCACACGAAACTATCCTCGATTTTTCGCCTTTAATGCATTTCCCTCACGATTAATCAATATCTCCTGCAAGAATGATACCGTATAACTCTCAAATCAACAATGCTTTAATCAAAGAGCTTAAATTCGCTCTGAAATCCGTGAGGGAATAACAAAATTCGGCCAAAATATATCCGCGTGCCGGGTTTGCTGGACAAAAAGCGGAAGTCGTTGAACAACTCAAAATACACTCAACCCTGATTGGACGACGAATATCTACAAACATTTCAAATTTTCAGTAGTCAGTAATGTAATATAAATTTGAACCAAAACAAATAACAAATTTGTCGGGGAAAAACCAGTGCAAATCTAATTATTTAAATTTAAGAAGTTTAGTCAGTAAATACGGATTGTAATTTACCCTATTTGACAACATGTTTCAGCGTAAAATTATAGTTTTATTTACAGTTATATTTACAGTAACACATATAAATATATAATCGACTTGTAGTAGACTTTATAACGTTTGTGAATTGTTTTGATTCAAATATCAAATTATTACAGTACTGTTCCAAGTACTGTCTCCCCTCCCAGTGGAGAAAAATTTGAAATGTTTGTTGATATTCGTCGTCCAATCAGGGTTGAGTGTATTTTGAGTTGTTCAACGACTTCCGCTTTTTGTCCAGCAAACCCGGCACGCGGATATATTTTGGCCGAATTTTGTTATTCCCTCACGGATTTCAGAGCGAATTTAAGCTCTTTGATTAAAGCATCGTTGTTTTGAGAGTTATACGGTATCATTCTTGCAGGGGATATCGATTAATCGTGAAAGAAATGCATTAAAGGCGAAAAATCAAGGATAGTTTCGTGTGACATATGCCAAGTGTGGGCTATTTTGGTCTCAATGTTTCCTTCCTTCCCTCGTTATAAGGAAGGCACAGGCGGGCGCGGGCAAATTGAGCTGGGCCTCCTGTGGCATGACTCGCGTCAATTTCCACGTCATTAGAAAATGCCTTTTTTTTAAACAAAGCGCAATTTCTCATTATTCTGCACGGTGACCTATGTTGAAATTTTGCACACAATATTGTACGGCAAAAATTTTTCATTTTACAAAAAATAAAAAAATCTGTAATGCCAAAAAAAAGTTATTGAAAAAAACATAATTTTTGTATTTTTAAGGAAAATGGCATTATAGATTTTTTTAATTTTTTGTGTAATGATAGCTTGTTTCCTTAGTAAAAGAATGCGAGTAAAAAAATTGGGTACCGTGTTTTTTTCAGATTACAGGACGTGATAGCCTATTTTAGAGTGAATTTCATATGCGTGTGTTGCCATAGCAACGAACTATGTGTTACTAAAGTTAACGGAATTTGAAAAAATAAACATTAAATATAAAAATTCCTAACGTCTGCTGCATAAAACTTAAAAAATGTGAAATTAAAGAATTTCAAACAGCAATACGATTGATTTTCAAAAAACTGTATCGAGCCACCTTAAATCACATATGAAATTTTCGCTGGTAACTTTATGTGAATTCCTCTCACATACGAAATTTCACTTTTTGCCTAATGTAAAATCTTTCACATGTGAAATTTCACTTTTTTACTTCATATAAAATCATTTCCCACGCGAAATTTTACTTGTAATTTTTAATTTCATGTCAAATCCTTTCAAGTTTGAAATTTCACGTGTAATTTCATGTGAAATCCTCTCACATGTGAAACTTCATTGTAGTTTGTAATTTCATGTAAAATCCTTTTAATTCGCATGCAAAATTTCAAATCGTAATTTGTAATTTGTATAGGTAATCGCATGGGACAGAGTAAAATTAAGGTTTAATTTCAAGCGTGTTTTTACAAACGTGAAACTTTGAAAACACAAGTGAATTAAACCTTAATTATACGAAGAACTATGTGATTACTTGTTAATCATAAAGGGCAAAATTTATTCGCGAGTATATACGCGGTGAGCAAAGTTTTTGAGGAAAGTTAAGTGGGAAAGCACGTACCATGGCAAAAACACAAAAGAACAAATGTTTAGCTTAGTATATTTATTCAAGAAAGTTTATTTAGGTTAATCAACAAGGGGGAATTTCGTTCTCGACCAATCAGCGCTTTTGTTTACATTTTTGCCCTAAGCCAATCAGAATGCGTAAAACGCTTCATCACATGAAATTTGTAAAGAAACATATGGGGTTACTTCAGAGCTTTTCTGCAAGCGGTTTTTTTGTTTTTTGCCATGAAATTCATATACGTTGTTCTTAAAAGAATTCTCCTCAACTTCCTCGTGGCGATTTTTGAATAATTGCGTGATTGCGAAGATATGGGTCTTCAAACTTTGCGTTGCGCAGGCTTAAATACCACCCCTCGAATTTGTTGGTTCCGAACGAATTAGCGTTTTTACAAGCCTGTCAAATCGAGGTTTGAGAGGTTTTATTTTTTAAAAGATACTTTTATCTTCATATTTTCACATTAACTTATTAATATCCTGTGTAACAAGTAAACAGGGCATTTCCGGGCCGGGACAAGTTGACATGTCGATGTCTTGCCAAACAGCGTGGCGATCAATATGGCGAATATCTAAATACAGGGAATTTTTAAAATTTTGTTCGTATAAATGGGATAAAGAAGCTCATCAAATATTTGGACTATGGACCTTCAAACTTATGCCAAGTATTTATTTGATTGATTAGCTCAATAACTGTTTTTTGGCTCGTTTTTCATCTATTTCGACATTTAGTCGACTTCAAAATAATGTGTCAACATTGCGTGTTGCAGCCTGTGGATATGAATATTTTCATTTGTTTGACCATAACACTTTTCTTCACTGTTTTTAATCCTTGAATGACAATATATTCATTGGTCTCAGAGTCCTAAACTTAAGGAAGATGGATGACTTTGGGACAGATATCAAAATTTTGTTCAGATATCAAAATTTATGGACATATATAGTCACAGAGCATAGTCATAGGACCCTCATTGCTTCTTCTTTAATCTGGCCCACTAGTCACAAATGGGGCCTGTTCTTATGACCTGGCTAGGCAGGAGACAACATTTGCCAGTATTGCCGATATACTATCCTGCTACTATCCTGGCTAAGCACAAGGTATCCATTGCCAGAATCCCAACTATGCAAGCCAAGAAATTCACCATTTACAGTAAACATTCTATCCCACAACCAGGCAACATGAACTTGCCTTTAGGGTCCCATGCTGCCTAGCCCAGATCATATCAACAGACCCTTAGCAGATCCTGAAACTACAATTGGAACATTTTAGGCCATAATCTTGTAGAATCAACCAGGTATATAATTGTCAGTAGTATAATATATATCACACTGGGCATGCAAGCTGGTCTTGCCCATTTATATGGGCTAAATATACACCTGCCCATGGTAAGATACTGCCTTGTATATTAATTTTATATATGTTTGAGATTGCATTCACATGAAACAGCCTGGTTGAATTTATTGGCCCAGCATTTGCTTGAGCAAGTTGATATCCTGCATTGGGAGTCTCACACTAATAAAGGTCATAAGCTGGCCAACCAGCTCACTCGACTAAAAATCATGTTATAATACACAATTTGGCCCAAGTAAGTAAGAAATTGATTAATATAAGCCTTCTGAAGCTGTTGTCATTAACAAATTAACCAGCATTTCACACAAATTTCTTGACAACAGTTGCCAGGTTAGCCTGGCTCCTGTGAGGCAAATGACAAACTAGCCCTGAAAAGAAAATCCAGCCATGTTTGCTGGGCTAGCATGGCCCATTTTGACAGCCCTTAACAGGGAGAGCTTATTTTTGGAAGGGAGATCTGATTTTTGGAAGGGAGGCCTATTTGTAAGGTTACTGGGGTC